CAAGATCAAAAGAATTAAATTTCACATGTGTCAACTTTCAAAAAGAAAATATGACATAGTTGTCAACCAAGGCATAATATGCCTCAAACTCCTAATAATGATGCCGTGAAGGTTAAACTATTTAGGAAATAATGACCCTGGATAAAAGACGATTTGTAAAAAACAAAACCAAACAGCAGGACATGATATTAGATAACAAATAACATAAAATTTTAGTCCAGAAAATTTCTCCTATAAACGGCATATAAACTAACTAATTAGACAGAGATAAAACCTAAAGTTTAATTTAATGGGAAGCTGAAGAGGGATAGATCAAAATGCAATATGGCTTTAAGTAAAAACCTTGCTGCACAACTATAAACTCACACCTATAGCTCCTTTGTGATGCTCAATTATTCCAATCATACGTTAACGAAATCTGAACTAAAGAAATGATACTTCTACATAGGAATGACATAAGAAATAGTAACATGCTTTTAATATACAGGTTATAAAATATCATTCTATTTTCTGACAACAATAAAATCCAAAGAGGGATAATTCCCAGAAATCATGAAATAGATTATAACTATATAAAGATAAAACAAAAATTGGGCAACGCGTATAAACAGCTTACAAGTAATTATAGATTTTGAGGGTGGTGATTTTAATTTTGTACTGAGTTCTATATGGCAAACTTGTGATGACCACATAATACTTGGTGTTTCAGGATAGATTTGAGCCAAAACTCTCAATTTGAATCCTGTATCCTTTTCAAGAGAAAGCTGTCTCTTGAGCTAGCCATTTTTTTATGAAAAAAATGAATAACAATTACTGCTTATCTATTTCACATATGCAGCCTTACTTAACAGTCCATTTTGATTTTCCCGCATAGTAAGGAAAGAAAATGAAAGGACAAGATAGGCGAAATAGACTTCAAATCTTGAGCTTAAAATATGTACAACAGTAGTGAACTTCTAATGGGGGATCACTATACTTGGCCATTAGAGAGGGAAGCCGAGAACATCAATCATCAATGATGGTACTAAAATCCTCAGGAAGCAATTTAGCTTGTTCCGCCAACTTTGCCTCAGCCCGTCCACTGTTTGTCTTCTTTAATACTCAAGTTTTACATTTATTTGCACAATTTTAAAAATTCAAGACAAATAGTGTGTAACATAACGAAGTTGAATGGGAAGCAAAAAGGCTACCTTTGACAAATAATCCAAATGCGAGGGCTCCTGGCATTATAGATTATAAAAGGTGCCTAATACCAAAAATGCACAGCAAAATTTAAAATGATGAGATGAACATTTCCGTAGATTGTAACGGAAACCATAAATAGAGAGTAAATGATTTAGAAAATAAAGCAAGAATGTAGGTCTCTAAACCGATGATAGATATAGAGCTTAGAAATAGGCTGGTTGAAATTTGTCACAACCTTGAATCAATGCCAGCAAAACACACTGACAACAACAACGGAGAAAAGGAAAGGAAAAAAGAAGAAGAAAAGCAAAGAAGAAGAAAGAAATTAAAGAGAAAAAAAAACCAAAGAAGAACCTCAGATCGGCGATGATTCTCATCTCAGTGAAAAGACCCTATCCCCTTGAATGGAAGAATATGGGAAGCTCGTCTCTTTGGCCTCAATCCCAGTAATCTGCATGCCTCTTTAGCAAGAAAGGCTTGCCAACATATTTGACTAAATTTGGATAAGGATTTGAATCACAAGAATGACCACCGCAATCCTACCTACAAGCAACCAAAAAATTGGTCAATTAAATCCAACCACATTGAGAGCGGCAAGATAGAGGGAGAGACCCAAGAGCAAAACAATGCGGCTGAATGAGCAGATGATAATGATAGAAGATAGACGAAGCTAACAATGGACCTAAAAGCAGCTAAAGGGGAGGAGATGATGTTGGCACTTTAAGGGGAGGAAAAAGGCACACGTAAAATTACACCAAAAGCCAACACGAAGGTGTGCCAAAATGAAAATATTTTGGGGGTGGGGAGGTGTTAATTTTTAAAATTTCAAATACACCCCACGCTAGACAAGCTAAGAAATACTATTGTTTTAGTCAAAAGAAAAGAAAAATAAATATTGCTGTCATCTGGTGATTCCAAAATTAATCAATATAGGTATTTGATGTATAGGGTTAGAATAAAATGAGCAAAAACTCTTAATTTTAAGGGAAGATAAACTGTAAATGGTATTCTTTTTGAGAGAAAACAACTATGGCCAATACCTCTCTGGTTCATATGTTGACATTTTACAGGAAAATACGTGCATGATTATATCTTTATGTATAATATATGATAATTTAAGTTTGGTATCAACCAAGATGTACATCATTATTATTTACAGTGATTTATGTGTTTCGTTTGAATGAGGGAGAGGGAAGAGAATGGGAGGGAATGGAGGGGAGGAGAATCTTAACAAAACCTTATTTGGCCTTGTTCAAGAGGGGAGAGGGGAGATAGTAATTATTTTACTACCATACCCTTGCATATTATTTTTTTAATAATTATTTTTAAATATTAGTGATTAAATATATCATAAAATTTTTTTTTTCCCTACACTCATTAACACTCTTAAACCTGCTTAAAATTAATGAGAAAAACTTGATAATGATACATTTTTTAATCATTAACCCATTATAATCCACTTATTTTGATTGATTGGGATTAAAATACATGAAGTATGTAAGAGTAAGTATATAAATCTTGCCCAAATTTAATTATAACGCAAACTATATAATTTTAAATTTATAAAATAAAATACGTTCAATTATTAATTTAAAATAATGTGTTTTTAATAATTTTTATATTTGATTATTGTTATATATAGATATTAATTAAATATTTGTTTTATATTATTAAGAAAAAAAACAAAAACTCATAATTTAGCTAACTATTTTTAATCAAAGAATATAGAATCCATATATTGCAAACAAAGTTTCAAACATTGGATTGTAGGATCAAATCCTATTATAGATGTAAAAACTTTATTAGTGGGTGATTTATAAATATTTTTGTAAATACTTTTTAAGTTTGGAGACATCTTGGGCTGGTAGAGGGACCCTACTTATCTAAATTTTCTGTTAAAAAAAAAAGATTTCAAACTTAGAAACAAAGCTTGCTTGTAGATCAAGTCCATGGTAGAAATGGTAAACAGGAAATTGATGCAATTGAAATCAAGGTATATATGGAGGGAAATATCACTATAAAATTGAGAGGGAATTAGTCAGAAATTTTGGTTCTCCTCCTAAAAAACCTCAACTTAAAGGAGAGCAATATGTTTTCCTCTAAAATTCTCAGCTGAAAGAGGGACGGGAACTCTCAAAACCCTCAAACCAAAAACACCCCTTTGTATCGACCATAACCAAAAAAAAAAAAAAAAAGAGAGTAATAAAAAATGATGTATTATTATTATTTTTTAATTCTTCTTTTTGAAAACAAATCAAAGTTAAATAAATGAGTGTTTTTGCGAACCAAAATATTTAAAAGAAAAAAGGAAGAAATAAAAAAATTACTATTGTCACCCTGGACTAATTTTAACAATTAATTATTATATAATTTTAGCAAGCTAGTAACTTAAAAATAATGATGAAATTTGATGAATATGAACTAAAGCTGAGAATACGAATTAGCTTACAATTTGGCCCATGATTGGGTGCAAGTTACAAACGTCCACTTTCTGTCAGGCTAGCCTAATTGTTTTTACCAATTTTTCATATCACTTCCCCTTCATTATTTCTGGTTACGTCACTGTGGACAAGAATGGTGATAGAAACAACACAAGTTGTCAATTTCACATGTAAGAGAGAATACTTAAGCAGCTAAATGCATAGTATATGAGCGGTGCTGACAAATATTTTGTTAATGAATTATGAAGCCATCTCACAAAAAGCAATTGATGTGAAAAGCAAAGGAGGTTTGAAGCTGGACCATCCAGTCTTAACTCCATCTTGACACTTTAAATAATCAAAGATTCATTGTCACAAAAATAAGAATCACAAGTTCAAGTCCTGTTTCTAACCCATGTCGCCAATATATCAAAGAGCAAATAAAGAAGCAATAGTATTGGCACAAAGCAAATCTGGAACAGAACATGTGTGCACCTACATACAAGCCTTTCTAATTTGAATCTGCCAGTAACTTCTCAGAGGCTTATTAGAAACTCTAATCCAACAACTTACATTTGAGCACAATTTATAATTTTCACATTGTAAGTTGATCAAAAAATATATATAAGTGAAGAATCCAATGAGGTTAACTGTCTCATTTTACTAATATGATTCTTCTCTTCAGATGGTTTAAATGCATGAGGCCAACGTGAAAGAATAATATGGCTTTAAGATAACTAGAGAGAGAATAGCTGGCTTTACTAACAAAAAGATACTAATGAAGAAGTCATCGAGGCTGGTAGAAGAAAAGATAATCATATAATATGAATAATCTACAAACAATTTTGGCTCATCTTTGGTGCTTGTTTGATACTTTTGACATTATCTTCTTGTTCATATACGCTTCTCATGTGTTCTTGTCATCACTTTCATTTCTACAGTCAGATTGAAGCTTCTGTAGATTCTATCTCTGAGATTGTCACATTGGTAAGGAAGATGAGTTCCACATTGAGTGTGTTGATTATCTCTGTAGCTGCATCGGACTGTTTTCTCGCTTATTCATTTTGAACCTTCCTGTAGATCCAATTCATGACTCATCACTCGTATTGCCATTCCTCCTATGTTCTACCATACATTTTCCCGAAACTAACACAATGTTTGTCAAGTAAAAAAGTGTTCTCTAGAAAATAAATAGAAATGGACCTATATTCCATTTTATTTCTAACCACATCTCTCATTCCTTTCTAGAAGACACTTTTCCATATACCAAACATATTGTCTATCACTGTGGCAACTGCCATGTGGTAATTTTGTTATTAGGTTTTAATTCTGAAAGTAAAATGCAGTTTCCCCCATTCTTCAAGAGAAAATTTCAATGTCTGATATGATTGATGTTCAGGCTGATCTATACATAATTGTCCGTGCCATTGCTAGTTTCTTCCTCTCATGCTCTTCTTCCTCATACTCATCACTCAATTTGTTCTGCAATTTTATAACAGAGAAATCCAATTCACAGAGGTCCAGAGAGTTGAATCTGGTGTAGACTGTTAAGTCTCTCTATATTCTGCTCACAACAATAACTTTTTTTTTTTTTTTTGGTTTTGTGATTTTTCTTACCACATTGGTCAATTTCGAGTGTTGTTCCAATTGCAAAGTAACTCCAATTTCTGCAGCAATATCCTTCAGCACTTTCAGTCTGATCTCCATGGCTGGCCTAGTAGCTGAAAGCTTTAATATCATCTGAAATAAAAGCACCACTAAAGTTACAATATCATGGATCTAAAGATTGTGCGAGATATGATCTCCAAATACAGAAATTTTCAGAACCTTTGAGTTCACTCTATTATTTTGGTGCAATTCCACAGCATGAGCAGCGAATCCTTCCCCATATCTGAAAGTGAAAATCTCTCTAATCTTTTGAAGCTCCGGAAATTCTCCACATCTAGAGGATGCGAAAATCAGGCTTGAAGTTGCTTCTTTGATCTCCTCAGGACAGTCACTATCTCAAACAATTGATTTTATCGAAGTGAGTCATTTCGGATATGAAAGAATACATATAGACAGGAAAAGACAGAGAACGCTAACCTGTTCTTTTCGAGAAGTTTAGCTCTTCCTCTGAGAAAGTTGCAGTAATTTTCTATCATAACAAACACATCCACCATGTTTTGTTCTCTTATTAACTGCTCCACCTTTTGGTTGCAGCTCAAATTGATCAGTGATATGAGGAGACATATTCTAAGGTAAATTCAAAGTATACAAAACAAATACATTGATTGAGTCTATACATTATAAAAGAGACATAATACATTGCCATGAGTACTGCATCGAGAAGCTTCATAAAAGAACTAACATTTATGAGTCTAAGAGATTCTTTCATCTAATATATTAGCCTTTTTGGAGTAGACTTTTCCTTTAAACACTTATGCCCGTGACATTGGTATTTTCATTGAAAGGATGCTAGAAATGTCGACTCTCAAATATGAGTGCATTACTATGAATGAAAAGCGGGCTCTAAAAGTTTAAGAGACTCTCTCATATGATAAACTAATTTGTTGAGACTCTTCTTGAATTTATGCTCATAACAGACACCCACAAAAGATTTCACAATTGAGTGATTTAGAGAAGAGATTGTGCTTGCTTACCCGAAGGAGAGCTCTGTCATGGTAACCAAGGTCCAAGAATTGAACAACATCAGAGCGAGCATAAGATCCTCGTACTTGAAACTTGTTCTTTAAGATAGCAGTCCTAGAAACAGCTTGTTTACTGATGTCTTTAAACTTGGAACCCAAGCTTTTCCCAAGAAGACCCATGTTTAATTCACTTTACAATATAGCCTCTATAAGTTTAGCTATATCAGTGATATTATAGCTATACAGTTACATGCAGGAAAGAGATCCAAAGTGAAGAAATTTGCGGTGAGAGACCTCTTTATAGGAAAGCCAAAAGTGATTTGTTTGACGTGTTATTCGTATTGAATCGACGGCTTATGCCGGTCAAAAAGAAGAAAAAAATCGACGGCTTATTGCATTCGATTCTTATTGGTTGAATCCTTCTTCTTCATGTAATTTCTTTTGAAAAGTCAATTATATTAAAGACACTGGTTCCTAGGTTTTCATGATAGTAATGCTAGCCTGAAGAGGTCAAACAGGTCATGAAATGGTGGAATTCTAGATAACCCAATCTTGTTAATTATTTTTCCCGATACAATTTGTAAAACATTTCTAACCATATTTCACAATAATAAAAGTAATTATTTTTTATTTCCATGAAAAATTGATATTTTTTTGGTTCTTAGTTAACCAATTTATTATAAAAAACTTCTTGATTCAATGACATCCCATACTCCTTTAAAAGAAGGTTGTGGGTTCTATCCCCTAGTGTGTATACACACTAGGGATACAATCCACAACCCTCTCCTTTCAAATGAATGTGAGATATTAATAAAATTAAAAGGTTCATTTATTAGGTGTCAATGTGTAATATAATTTATTGTTTAAGATTTTATTTTTCAATTATTGATTCAATCCTTGAATTTTGAATCAAAATAACTTAAAGTTATTATAATTTCTTGACCTTGGGAAAAAAACCCAATCCTTATAATTCCTTGGCTCAATACTACTCAATTTCTATAATTCTTTAATTAATAAATTATAAGGATTGAGTTGTAATTTAAGACTTAAAGTTGTATTATCCTTTTTTAAAATACTAAATGTTTTTACATTTTGCATCATAATTAGCTGACAAAATATTTACAATTGAAGGAGCAGCTAGCTTGTTTAAACTTTAAATCTAAAGTTCAAAATATAGCTTCATTCTATTATTCTACTTTCTTGTTTGTAAGCATTTTATGTTACTTTATTTTTCTTATAAACACTAATTAACTTTATAATATATTTTTTTACGCCTCAGCCAAAATAAAAACTATAGATCAAGATGAAATTAATTAATGTCATGAAAATGAGGACCGAGCACGATGTTCTAGCCTATTAAATTAAAGGACGCAAACCGCTACCTTTATGACTCATTCAAGGCAATTTTATAATTAATTTTTTTAATAGAAATTCAAAGATTTGAATGATTAAGATCAAGACGGCCTTTGTCATATAATCTAATTAATAAATGAAAGTAAAATTTGTTTAATCAAATTAAAATGGGAATATATATCATTCAAAGCTTGCACGAGTCTAATTAGCTTTACAATAATACCATACCTATGTCATCATCGATCAACTTGGACCACATGGGGTGATAATTGAAGGTCCCAAATCAACATCATCCTCATGAGCAAACCACACAAAGTGATAGTGAAATTCACCTACTATTCATAAGCCATTATTAGCATTGTGCATTATCTTTTAAAAAACTCTCTCATATCATTTGAATATATTTTTCTAAGATTTTAATATAATTTGGCTCAAGTGTTTATATTTTGATTGCTCAAATTAGGAAAATATGTATCTTGCTTTGAGCTTGCAAATTTGTTTTTAATTCAATCCTTTTGGGCTAATTTTGTGTTGTTTTGATTTAAGGTTTAATTAGATATATTTATGGACCTTTGTTATGCTTTTGGAAGGAGAAATTAAGTGCAAAAAGAATAAATTTCATTAACTACACAAATAGTCTAAGACTATCAAAGTCATACTAAAGTCGTGACTTTGTTCGCAACTTTCATTGTTGTAAGCAAAATACTTCATTTTATTTATTTAAAAATGCTTGGGTAGGATACATATATGCTGCTAACTTGACCCAGCTTGCATTCGACATACTTGAAGATTCATTTGGAGCTTGGTTGTGCTAGAGTTTGGGCGTTGAAAGAATTGAGATCAAGAGACACTAATAGAAAAAGGCTCTTCTACTATACTAATTCACACCACATTTAGAAAATGTGATTTAGAAAGAACATAATTCACGTCATCCAAACAAAAGAGGATGTGCATTGTAAAAGAAAATTATTTTTTAATTTTTAAGAATCCACGTTGTAAGGTCACCCTTACTAATCCACCATTAATTCCAAAGTTAAGGTAATTATGGGACTAACTTGATTGAATTACTAAGTTTGTAAAATTAGGGATCTTAAGTTTTTGAAACTTAACATGCTAAAAAAATCATTTCATAAATAAAAATTAGAGAAAAACATGTATATAGAAGCATGGACATTATATAAGGTAAAATAACATCAAATTCGGGTCAAAAGAGCAAAAGTAGTGATTTTTTCATAATATGTTGTAGCATAAAATTTTATGCTATGGCATAAAATGCAAAAGCCCATGACAGAAAAAAAAAAGCTATCATGGTATATTTTTTGATTGAACTTCTGACGTGCCTCAAATCTTCATCTGATGTTCAATTGAGATGATCTAAGTATCTACAAAAAGCTTTCTCTATGCTCTAGCTAATGGCACTGGTTTCACATTTAAATCATTTCTCAATCAAAATTTGGACACCAAAATACAAACTTAATCATTTATGCTTTCAAAACATAACTAGAGTGTCCAAAATCACAACCAAGTGCCATAAGTTTACAATCACTCTTAGACCACACTTAATAGACTTAACAAAACTTGTGCAACATATCACAACATTCCAATAATATGCACAACACATTTTTAGTGCTCTACCCCTAATTTTATAAAACATAAAGGGGAGGAAATTCTTGTACAAATAATTCATATTCATCAATAACAACTCAAAATACACTTTATATTACTTGCATAAGTATTTTGGTTCTATATCAGGTTTCACAACCATAATTTATTAACCCAAGGCATAAAATACATAAGTTGTATACAATAATAATGCAAGTAGCTCAAAATAATCATATGATTCCTAGTTGGCAAATTAATAACATTAATACACAAAAACAACACGATGAGGCATACAAGTAGAATTTACTCTACAATCCTAAGCCTCAGCACATTTTTTGCAATCTAGATTCAATGAGCTAGGTCCTGAAAATATTTAAGAATGAGGGGTGAGTACAACCACTCATTAACCAAGTTCTACCTAATCTATATAGTTGCATATTAATTTAAAACAAATACAATTGGCAATAGCACACATATATTTTTCACATATATAACAATCATAGTCATGGTCACAATAATAACAATCATATAACTAGGCATTAAACATATATAATCATGTATATACCAATTATGAATAATATGGGGTCGAACTAACAACTATGTGCCCTTGGTGTATGCCGAACCATAATGATAATAACTATATGGCTAAATCTAAATGCATGATCAACGCCAATCTTATACCTTCCTATTACCTCTAACATGAAACCAGTGACTATTAAGTGGCTACATTCATTATGGACTAACCCAGCCTTCCACTTGTGAGGAGTTATCCAGCTAAGGTTAATTCATTCACTTGTGTACCATGGTTTCTCTCAATACTAACAACTATAGGGTGTCGTACCCCTAATATAGCCTCTTCATGAATCAATAGAGACTAGTTAGGTTCAAGTCTCTCATAAAACAAGTGGGACAGTTTCGAATCAACTATAGAACAAAGCCACCTCCCGATTTCAACACTCAGTGCCAAGGCAAGCTTTCAATTCCAACGGTAAGCTGCTAGTACCATGTGGGTTTATCAATCTACTCCTCTCCCTAGACGAACTCCCGTCAATGATCATGCTATGCACATATAATAAGTTATATGCATTTAGTACATATTGTTTCAATTATATCATATGTATAAGATTCTCTCCTTCCAGCATTCTCCACATGCCATTAAACACATAGTTATGCTTTCAACCATCATCATCATTCACACGTGTAAAACGTGCATATTTTTTATAACCATTCAACAGAATTTTCAAACATGCCAAATTTGCATAAAAAATTTCAAATATCAATCATGTTTTAAAAAAAATAATTTCAATCAATAAGTAATTAATATCCAACTATATAAATTAAGTTTTTCCCAGTTATCTTAAACCATTAATAGGTTAAAGGTTTACTGCTCAATAAAAGTTCTTCACAAGCTATACCAAAACTTGAATGGTGCACAAGATGATTAATCATACCAATCATCATTAATATCATCATAAACACTCTTCCAACTTTCATGAATCAATACTTTAATTACCTAAAATTCTAATCTCTTGCACTTAAGCATAACCATTAGGTTTATTAACTCCCATTAACTCCATTTAGCTTTCATTAACTTAAATAATCACTAATATAATATCCAACAATCTAAAATCACATTTTAAAGGTCTAGGGTTCATTCAAAATGGATGTTCCAAGCTTATAACCTTGTAAAAACTTTTAAACTATGTGTACAATATTTAAAACAACTCTCATTAGTCATATTTAGACTAATAGGTTCGGACCCATAGCTTTAAATCCAAAAATTATTATTTTTGAACCTTAAATCTCACTTTCAAAATGTGTAAAAGGAAGAAGAAGAGATAAGGAAGGCATACCTAGGTGAAACCAAGTTTCAAACACCTCCAAAATGCCCAAAAGTTAATGTCCTAACATAGAAAATACTCTCTTAGTCACACACTCTCTGCTTGTTAGTCTAACTCTTTGTTTTTAAACTGATTTGCATTTTTTTTAAAAAAATTGGTTTAGGAAATTATATTGCAGCATAAATTTTTATGCGGTGGCATAACACACAGTGGGCTAAAAATCTAATTTCTCTCTACAATTTGAGCTTAAGTGACTTAATTTACTTTTGAACTCAATATAACCATCTCTAACTATTTTCAAACTTAATTATACTTAAATTTACACAATTAACCTTTATTAAATTAATAAATCATGGGAAACTTTTTTAGGATGTTTCACACGTCACTAAGAAAGGATGGGGACATGGATTCTTCGCACAAGCCACATCACCTACAGAGGTTAGACATG